TCTCAAAATAGCGTTCCTGTTTATGGCAGATCAAAATTTAATTGGTTGAGTAACTTGATTGACAGGTTTTCTTTATTTGTGATTGAAGAACGATGGCGTTAGTGTTAAGATTTCCTAATTTGGTAGCAACTTCGTAACCTTTTTTGATTTTTGTTTTCATTTATATATCCGAAATTATTTGCCGTTTACAGCGCTAAATGCATGCAAATATATCTTTCAAAAAAGACAAGGAAATCAATTTTTTGCGGTTTGTCTTATAATAAAAATCCTCGTTTCTCGCATTTTTCCTCGCCCTTTCAGGGCTCGGAAAATACGTTTGAAACTCGGCCAGATTATATGTCAAACCATTCAATAAGATATCTGTCCTTTTATAGGTTATTGTAAATCCAAATATTCTTATCTGTGGTTGGCTGGAGGAAGGTACAAAAATACAGACGTATAGTTTACCGAAATCAGATAAAAAGAAGCTCCCTACACCTCCAGTAAATGTGGAAAACGTGCCAAATGGTGTTCCCAATCAGTCTCTTTTCTTTTTAAATATTGATCGTGACAAAAATGCACGCATATTTACTCACATCTCGTATGACAAATACAAAGTTAAAAACCTTTGTGTATCTTCTGCAAATAGCGATACCTTACTCAAAGCTCTTGAAAAAGATGGACGTTTCATGAAACCTGAAAACTGGACGCTTAGTATTCGTGGAGATAATCTGTCTAAAGTACCAGTTGAAACAAAGGCTAACTGTTGTGAGAAATACTTCTTCGATGTCGAATTCAAAACCAGAAAAAGAACGTCTTCAGGTGTTAGTGAATCTGGCGCAGTGAAGATAAAAAAGGAAATAATAGGAAAAGATGAGGTTACTGATGTCTCATCACCGTCTCCCATGTCAGCGAAGCGTGCTTCCCCAGTGAATTCATTTCATAAAAAAATTTTAGAATCTGCAAAATCGCATGCTAAGAAACTACTCGCACAAAATAATCGTAGAAAACTCGCTACTTTGATCGAAACGAAGTTCTCTAAGCTAATTGACCAAAGCAAGTCTGTTTGGCTTATGGAAGAACTTGTTTCAGCGAGTAAATGCGTTGGCCGCATTAATGCAGAATCTGGGCGTGTCACTGGAACTTGTTTCCTTGTCACAGAAGATGTGATATTAACTAATTATCACGTTTATAAAGATATTAATGATGACGCTGCCTCACGTCAAGACAAGCCAAAAGTGAAAGTCTCGTTTAACCACATGTGGCCAAATCAAACACTTAATCTTGGTGAAGTTGAAGTCGATATGAAAGATATCCGTGCTCAATGCCAAGATGAAAGCCTAGATTACATTTTTCTTGGACTAAAGAATAAAGGTGGCCAACCAGGGCTGAGTGGGAAAATATCGTTGGTCGACCCAAAGAATTTTACCAATGAAGTTGTAACAATTATTGGTCATCCTGATGGTCGTGAGAAACTTATAGATCCTGATTGTCGAATCATATCACAGCACACCTGGCGACCAGAATTACTCAAAAGGATTCAAAAACGTCAACGCTTTGAATTTAACCCACTTTTTACCTGCAAGGAAGCGATAATGAGTGACAAATATAAGCAGAAGATTGCCTATGATACAACCTTCTTTGATTGTTCAAGTGGATCGCCTGTGTTTGATGATCAAGGAAAAGTAATAGCAATGCATACATGCGGCTGGGTTGAGAAAAGAGCGGGAATAAAATTTTCCTTTATGGAATTTGCTATTCCCATGGAAGCAATATATAACCATTGTTATAATAACTTTCCACAGGTGGTTGCCCTGCTGTTTCAAAGTTTTTCTATGAATGTCGATGAGCAGGACTAGTCAATATACAAGCGCCTGGATATTGATCACAGTGATTGATGTACGCCGAACATATTTTGTTTAATACTGAATGGAATCCAGTAGAAAATATCAATGAAATATAGCAAATCATGCAAATTGAGACAATTTCGAATTGTCTAACCCATTAGTGGTCACTAGAGGGGGACGGGGGGGGGGCATCCTCCCCCCAACATTTTCCACAGGTCCCTGAAAGTTAGCTGATACCAAGATAACAAGATTTTTAACTATAGAGTATATTATTATTACATTTGAGCCAAACGTGTTTAAGGAGTGCCACTTTGCACTTTGCAACAACAGGTGGTTTGTAATACGTTGGTAACATTCGCCACTGGTCTTAATTTTCTACCATGAATTAATATCTTTAAACAATGTCATTGTACTGTATTTTTTAATGTAGTATATATATATACCCAATGTAGAGAAATGCACAATGAGTTTTATAGACTCGTAGATTCCGGTCAATGAGACCAATAGTCCAATACAGGTATATGTGCCCCCCAAACCACAAGAAGAGCACATCACGATATTTTATAAAATACACTCAATTTAAAAATGGATTCGTATCTTAGTAGACCTGACTAGAATCGACTCTTCTATTTATTGCTTGTGATTATTTAAAAAATATAACCGGGTGAAATTTCATGTTTTTAATTTATGTATACCCCCAAAACCATATCAACAAAAACACCACCGTTTGGGAAATATGTGAGGAGCGCAATTTTTAGGCGTTTTCTTGTCGTGGATATATTTTTCACGCACTTAAAGTTTCGGATTTATCAGCTTTGAATGCAAAACTTTGATCAATACAGCAAAAAATTCTTTCAATAATTACATCCAAGAAAATCAATTGCCTGTTCGTATCGACTATTGGTATGTGAAAATGTTATTTTTTAAACAATCGTTTGCATTCACTTGTATAGAATGCATTTAAACTAAGCAAGTGGTTTGTTTTTTTGGGTGCATATACATGTACTATATAATTTTAAGTAAGGTTATAAGATGTAGATTCTGTAGATAGATAAGTATGATGGCCCATCATTTTTTTATTTTTATGTAAAAAATATTTTAAACTAAAATTTTATTTGAAACCAAAGCAATATAAAAACAAAATGAAACGACATTAAAAACAAATGAAATCAAAATTACCTATGACCCATCGTTGCCATACCATTGGTCCATTGCTGCCATAGACCAATATGCAATGCGGTCGGAAAAGGGAAGAAAAGAGGATATTTTGCTTCAGCCGAGTGGAAGCACTAGCTCGCATGTTTTTAAAATGGCAGATAAATGGCGGAAGTTCCGAGACGAAATGAAGCAAAAACGAGCAGGAAAAAAGATTGAAAAAGAGGGGAAAATTGAAGAAATAGTTGCACAACGCCTGAGCTCAGGTATCTTGGGCAAGGCACAAAAGTACAGCAGAGTTGCGCCGCGAGAATTGGAAAATATCGATATCGAAAAAAAATATCGACTATATCGAAAATATGCAAATTAGCAAAATTACGAAATGTAGTTTAGTCAATAGCACATCACAAACAGCAAAATAATGTATACCGCATCAAAAACAGCCAAAAAACAAAGTTGCGTGAAACTAATCGAATATCAAAAGGTTTATTTACTACAATATGGTCATTTTATGAATGTTATAAAAAGATTTAGTTATTATTTACGCATGTTTCCAGACTTTACCGGGAAATAATTTCGATAAAACTCTTTCGGTATTCGAAAAATCGAATATCGATATTTTTAAAATTAATTAAGATATTTATCGACTATATCGATATACCGCAACAGCCTAGTCATAGGCGCCGTTATAGTGTCATTGTCGTCATATTGTCGCTAAAAACAAGAAGAGATTGGACTAGCCAGACTTTGAGCCTTGTTGTACTTTAGACAGATATATTTCCATGTCCGTTGATTATCATGATCGTAGACTATAGATTTAAAGCAGTACGGTAATAACTTCGAGTAATAAAGATATAAATTTGACTATAAAGCTTAAAGATTGATCAAATTTAAATCTTTATTACTCAATTATTACCGTACTAATCCACGGACATGGAAATCTATCTGCCTAAAGTGCAACAAGGCTCGAAGTGTGGCTAGTTACATGGCTAGTCCAATCTCTTGTTGTTTTTAACGACAATATATGACGACAATGACAATACGACGGCCTCTATGACATTATATGACGGCCCCTTTATGGCCAATATATGGCCAAGTAACAAACATGCAGGCCACCATTATATATATAGCGACAATATGACGACCGTTATGACAATATGACAGCCTAGGTATTGGCCCCTAATATGGCCAATATATGTGTACGGCCCCTATATGACGACCCCTGTATTAATTGGCCCCTAATTAGCGACAATATGACGGCCCCTGCTCTCCAGCGACAATATCACAAATTGTGTTTGAAGCACCTTTTAATAAGTTCTCCATGCTCATATCCTTTTCACCAAACTGCACAAATTCTCGCGGCCTAACTCTGCTGTACTTTTGCAGGCCTTGTCCGAGACATCTGAGCTCAGGCGTTGTACAACTATTTCTTCAATTTTTCACTCTTTCAATCTCTTTTTCCTGCTCGTTTTGCTTCATTTCGTCTCGGAACCTCCGCCATTTATCTGCCATTTTGAAAACATGTGAGTTAATATCCTCTTTTCTTCCCTTTTCCGATCGCAATGCATATTGGTCTATGGCAGCAATGGGCCAATGGTGTTTTTAAATTTACTTTTCCGAAAAATTCTTGTGGCAACGATGAGCCATAGGTAATTTTGATTTTGTTTTCATTTGTTTTTAATGTCGTTTCATTTTGTTTTTATATTGATTTGTTTTCAAATAAAATTCTTTTTAAAATATTAAAATTTTTGTACCCTTGTTTTAAGGGCCTAGGCTACTAAAATTTATTGATTCCGTTTGTCTTGTTTATAAAGTGCTTTAAAGCGTGAGTATCATGCCAGTGATCCTTTGACTTTGGGCGCTTGGCGTCCCCGAAAATGCCTGACTCTTCAGATATTTATAAGTGATTAGTGATCTCCAAGATTTAATTTGTATTGGCCCATATTTATCGGAATCCTATTGAAAAACAACTCTATTTCTTCTTTTAAACGAAGTAAGTCATTATATCTTGTGAAATGTTGCGTTTTTTATGCAAAATGTTTGTATTGAAAGTATATTCATGAAATACAGCCGAATGTAAACATAAAATGTAAACACAAGCGTGCAAAGTATCACTGGCATGATTCTCACTCTATATTCCTACTTTTTTTCTACATTTTAAAGTCTAGTTCAGGGACGCCGGAACGATGTGAAGGCAGGGGGGGGGGCAGATTTTCGTGAAAGGGCACATTTGAATTGATATATACCAAGACTGAGATGTTTGCAAAACATCGGGAGTTGAACTTTTCCTAATCATGTTTTCTATTTATTGGATGATAGGGGTGTGACGGGGTTCTCTGCCAGGCGATTGTGCTATTCTTGAAGCTTGATGACTGCATTTCTTGCGTTTTCTGAAGCAAATTCGTAAAAGAATTGCACTAACATTTCTGACAATTCGCTATTTCGCCAAGGCAATCCTTTAAATTGAAAGGGCACCTTTGCCCCCCCCTCTTGCCCCTCCTGGTGGAGGGCAACGGGGGCGGCTGCCCCCCCCCCCAGTTCCGGCGTCCCTGGTCTAGTTATTGTGATTCAGGTTTTGTGCTTTAATTAAATTAAAATGTTTTTAGTCCGAAATGGATGTAGTAGTGAAGAGGTCAACCATGCTTGCATTTGTGTTGTATTGACTATTGTTGTGGCGATGAAAGCACTTGTCAAAAATCAGCGCGTCCAAAACTCAGCGACATATAAGAACATAAACTTGTCAATCAAAACAAAATTCAGCTACAAATATTGACAATACATGGAGAACAAAATGGAATGGTTTTTGTGGTGCATATACTCTCATGTTTTTTTCAAAACAAGCATAAATTTGTGACGTTCTAGTCTGGACGTGCATGAAAACACCCTGATTGCCGTCCTAAACACAACCGAACGTGAACGACGTCCTGAACTAAACCGGAAGTAAAAATCCCACATGCCACGCCATTTTCACGTCGCGTTGCCGGTCGCCGGGATCTATTCACATCAGCCACGTCATATCGAACGTGATGATGTAGTTCCAATTAACGCGCGCACATACAAGACAAGAGAAATTAATTTTCCAATTAATTTTGCCACGTACCATCCAGTGTATGTCTTGTACGTTTGAAATGATATGCAGTGTGCTGATGAGTGATGTGAACTTTTAATTCACTTTCAAGTGACGCGAGTAAATAGACTCACAACATTGCCATTGCAGGACGTGCATACTGAAAGTCTAAACTGAAAGTCTATATTATTAGTCTATACATGCAGATTAAGATGTGGCTCACGGATCGGAAGCTTTGCTAAATAGTAAATATGCCTTCTGTTGACATAAACCAAAACTTTTAATAGTAGTATATCGCCATGCAATGCAATTGCAATATATATGCAATGCAATTGGTTTACAGCAAACCTATACGTTAATGTTAATTATAGCTTTTTCTAAAATTAATACTAATAAATGCGTGCCGAAAAAAGCCCACGTTGCCACAAATAGTTTTGGTCAATTATTTCATTTTCTTAGTTAACACTAAAAAATTCTTTGGTCACTAAACGCTGTATATACAAAACTTATGTCAAACAAATATTTGTAGGCCATGTTACATCGAAACATTTTCCCAAGGAAATGTGAAAAAATCTTTTGTATTGCCAGTAATTTCATTGCGTTTGGTCAACTCATATCTAGCGGCTAATTACTGCTTGATTGAGCGTAATGAAACATATTGTTATCACAGACGTCACGTCCAGAATTTGTCGCTGGACATTTGCATCTTTGCTATTATCTTTTAATCAGCTGTACGCTCATTAATATTCAAGTTTGATATATCGAAATGCCTACGGTTTGGAAATTGTTTACAAGATATACAGTGTCTATTGCACAAGAGCTCACTGTGAGAATTGTTTTATCCCAACATTGAGCTTGGGATCCTTTGTTGAGATTCATATATTATTCCCGACGATGATTAACGGTTTTTTATATAAATGTGAAGTCTAGACGATGTATCTGATGAAAATTTGATACAATCTAGGAATGAAACAGTCTGATTTTTAGCTACTATACGCGGCGTTTGATGAGCGACGTTTGTTAAAATTACACGTCTATCCTGTAATCTCGACAATTTGGAGCAGAACAATTGTGAAGGAAACCATGGATAACTATAGCAGAAAATTTCAGAGTAGGAAAAATTCTTACTCAACGCGCCGGCAAACACCGGTCGTCCATCCTTGGAAAACTTCATCAATTTCTGTTCATTCCACCACGTCTGTTCCAAAAGAAGGTGTGTATGTATTTATACGTGTGTGTAACGTAAAATCAATATTCAACTCCTATACTTAACTGTAAATTTGGTTTAAAAGAAACGAAATTCGTATTCTTTTGGGGCAGTTTCATTTCAATCAAGCATGCAGCGAATGTTTATAAATATGATATAATCAATATAAGCGTTTATTCGTCTCTATAGTTTCTGTCATGCACTAACCAAGTGAATAGCCATGGGCCCCTTTTGCTTGACATACTCGTGTGCATATGCGATACAAAATCTCTACACTGCTGATTCTCAGCGTAGGTCTCCATTGATTGTGGTAGATTCTCGCTAGGCTTATTTCCAGCGAAGGCCAAGGCTCAAGTCCTAGATGGCGTGCCGTATACTACTAGATGGCGTGCCGTATACTACTAGATGGCGTGCCGTATACTACTAGATGGCGTGCCGTATGGTTTATATTAAGGGTTCTAGCAACTTAAAACCATGCTGTTTTGTTTATGCTTAATGCATGGCTACGGCGAGAGTACATTTCATCCATGACCTTGTTCTTATTGCCTATAGTCGGGCTATAAAGTTGTTTTTCTGTTATCACCACAGTACTGCAGGGAATTGAGTTCATAAGACATAACATTGTCAGATCATAACTATTATAGTTTGGATGACACTTCGTTGTTTTAGCCTTAGACGTAGTTCAATGACAATGTGTACTTCAGAAGTCGCATATAATTATAAGAAAATAATTATCAGTTCAATAATATTGCTCTTATAGTATGATACGGATAGGTATATGTGGTTTAAGCCTCGCCATGATCCGTTATACCTGACATAATTCTCTCACGTTTCTGATCTAGGAACGTCACTGTTACATCGTGTTAATTTAAATCCTGATTTTCTGAGAGTATTAAAAAATATTTTGAATGAGAACAAATATATCTGCAATGTAAAATATATCGCTGATCTTTTATATTAAAAAATCGTAGTTTGGCTGCAGGGAGCATGGAAACAAAAACATTTGACATTGTAATCGTATATTTGGTGAGAAATTGCTAGAAAATAATATTAGATTATTAAGAAATATTAGAAAGACAGTGTGGGCGGACACAAACGTGAAATTAGAAATCGTATTTGCGTAGTATCACGAAATAATTCAATCTGCAATAACATAGAAAAAATAACGCCAAGCCTGATTATAAATACACTCCTATAATTTTTGGAATATCAAAACGAATTTCAGTCCCTCATATATGACTGAAATGAAACTTCATGGATCACATCTTGATAAGAAACGCCGATACGTTTGTACCTCTTGCCCTTGGTTCCATCGCGTACATCAATTAATGGGTACACCCGATCCGAATATATTTCCAAACTTTTGTTTATTTTCGTAAAAATTAGTAAGGTGCATGTATTTCAAATATTGAGGCACATTTTTATAAGCAATTCTTTAATGAATGAGACTCACTAAATGCGTCACAAGCTATACTAATTTCTATTTTAAATACCTCACAATTAAGCTATGCATGCAGTATTTCTATTTTTGTTGGAAATTGAAAGTGCCGAAACTCGGACGCGCTTGCGCGCAAAATTGCGATTTTTCTCTAAATAAACTCACTGGCATACGCCTCTAGCCAACAGTTCAAGGTCATGCATATTAAGCGTACTTAATATGTATAGTTAACTCAGCAAGCGTTATAGTGGGCTATTTTGTATATAACTATGAAATTCAGTATATTGAAAAATATGTAGGCAGGAAACAAGAACGACCACTTTTATACATAATGGCTAAACTGATAATGATATATCAAAGCATGTTTTACTTTGCATGTTAAATTATAGACTGAAATACTGATGTACTACTTAAGATATATAATCAGTGTCTTGTCATGCATCCATTATTCATTAATGCATTATTGTTCTCAAACCCGAAATCCTTTGTCCCAGAAACATTTTTACATACTATCTACTTAATTAAGAATAACAATTCACTTTCATGCCGTTTCATTCCTAAGTCACGAATCAGTTAAATTTTCATTTTATTTTCAATTTCATTAATGTCATGCAATTATTTCCATAAATCAGCCAGGTTTTCAACTTCAAAGTGACGATTATATGGATTGTAGACAGCCAAATCGCATTATTTGCCTGTGGTTGGAAACTCCTACGTTTCGAGCAAGGGCTCTTTGTCAGGAGAGTTAATTATCTGCGGAGAAATCTCTCAATAACAAACATTTCTATATACTTATTATATAGCTACTCGTGACAGATGTTCGCTCGAACGGAAAGTTTTAACTGTTTTCGATCAAGCGAAGTACTCTTAGTATTAAGTAATTAAAAAGTAACTGCATGATTCTACAATATATCGTTCATGCATACACTTTATTGCAGGACAAAAACTGAGTATATACAAATTTATAAGGACAAATAATAATTTACCCAAATGGAAAAGGTACATGCGAACGAGATTTTACTAAAATATTTTACATAAATAAGTTATCACATTATTCGGTAAAAAGTTCAATAAGTAATTTTATTATCTTACTTCAGTAATCAGAGTGGGTGCCCTCACACACGCCTATATACTCCTGTTTATTGCCGCCATACATAAGTACGTACGTTTTTGTCGATAATCTGGCTAATATAATGTAATGAAAGTTCAACTGTATTTTTTTAATACTGCATGACTCCCTGCACGATTCAATATAGGCTAGAATATTTCTATTTAAGGACAAAATAAGTGCTGATTAATATTGTGGTAATTAAGTTAGACTTGTCTTAGGGAAATTTAGAAATTATTGACCCATACAACAATCATATACTGTGCGTCCAATTATTTCGTACATGCATGCCATGGTAGTTCATAAAGTAATTTATAAACTTCTCCCTTTAATACACTCAAATCGCGTTCTAAACCTTCCATTTTTGTGTGCAAGCCATTTTTGATGTGGTTGGCAATGACAGGCGTTTTGCACTCGGAAGTGTAATCTGCACGTTCAGAAAAAAATAGACGTGTTGAACAAATTAGAAGACACTTTATAACCCGTATTCCCCCAGAAAATCACAAACGTTGCATTAAATTTCATTTTTGTTGCCAATGGAAAATTGTCTATACGCTTTTTGATCTGTTAAGAGTTTTTAGCGACTTTTTACTTTCCTTTCTTTTCTTTTCTTTTATCTCACAATCTATATATAGTCAACGTAATAGCGTGCTAACGTACTTAATAACATACTCGATATATTTGAATTAACAAAGTGATGTTAATTGGCTGATCTATATATACTGATGATAAACATTGATTAGGAATCCTTGTTCAGCATGCAATATAAATCTTATTAATACCTATACATGTAGTCTATAAGCCTTCAGTTTGTCTACTCATCTTACATTTTACGCATTTTTCTTTTTTTTATTCGCTTAAATTAACAACCAAATTACACTAAAAACATAAAAACTGATATATATGAATGATTGAAAGAAAGGACAAAACGGGATTAAAATGTATATAATCACTTGGATTACAAACCCTAACATTCTAATATTAATTCCACCAAGTGAAGTGCAAGAAATCACATCATTCAAGTCCACCTTATCACAACCCGCACACCCGATTACCTATATATACATGAACTTACGGTTACAGCTCAACAGCTGGCCTCTGTAGCTCAATTGGTTAGAGCGCTGCACCGGAATCGCAGGGCCGTAGGTTCAATTCCTACCAGAGGACCTTGTGCTGCATTTTTCGCAGTCGTTCCTGGTCAGGTCTTAAAATGTATATATATACTCACTTGGATTACAAACCCTAACATTCTAACATCCTATATAAGTCCATCCATGTAACACTATAAGGGTTTATATAACACACCACACACTACATGATTCATATACACGACACAAAAGTCAAACGAGAACAACAACATAAAATATACAAATTACGAACAGCAACTGATATTGTTAGAAGTTAGACTTTCATTCCCAATGAAAGGTATCTTTTATTGTTTTTCTAAAAATTAGTTAATCTCTGCTAACACTTTGATCTAGCCCAAGTGAAGAAATTGTTTGAAGAACACAAACCTGTTTTCCTTGGAGTTTCCGGTTTCTTGATCATCATTTTGATAATCATAATGTACCATTGTTGTCGGCGATGCTGCAGAAAAGATAAAAAACAACAGACAAAAAACAGTTCAACAAATCATGCATTATCTATGTCACATGAAGAATTTCACTTACCTCGATGGAGGAAGTCTGCTGTGCAACCAAGACAAAACAAGCAGAAAGAAATTGTAAGTAGCATATATATAGTTTCATCTTTCTACATGACTCCTTTTGTCCTCTTTAGAATAACAATTACTTTTAGAATAATATGCCAACTTTAGAATAAAAACGTTAACACATATAATGTTTGAACCTTCTTCGGGGGCTTGAACTACATCCAAGCTCGTGGTTTCAGTTTCATCAGTGGAAAGATTGTTATACTATATTACTTTATAAAGGCAAGGGGATGATAGCCTTGCAGCTGCTCCGAAAATCTCCTGCAATTATGACAACGAAGCCGACGAAGAAAAAACAATCTCGTTTCTTGAACACGTATAGTATAAACAATTTATTGTCAAATGAAGCAATCACTGTTATAGAAGCTGCGAACCTATCCAAGGAATTAATCGATTACATATTGTCAAAACGACGGATAATTATCAACAACTAAGGGAGTACTTTCGAAAAAGCGTTGCTTGGTCCATCATTTTTGTGAGCTCTCAACGCATGTTCTTCTTTAATATTAACATAATTTTTTACTATGTATACTGACATGTACGTCATGTAAAATTTCTGTTTATTTTCGTTTAGAAAGAACTTGGATCTCTTCAGTTCACATTAAAATACGATCTTCGAAGGTGTATTATGATATTTTAGTTTGAAAACTACATGCATATATTTTTAAAACCCCTCTTTTTAATTATGAAAAATGCGACCTAATACATAGACATTATCTCCTCACAAAGTATAATGACCTTTACGTGCATGGTCCATTCCCCCACTATCTCAAACTTATTAAATAATTCATGAGTAAATTAGCCAACCATATTGCTTTATTTGGTCACATGATAATACTGGATACCTGCATGTGGTGAAGTATCTTTGATCCAGTCCTAAGACTGAATCAAAATTAATTCAGTCCTTGGACTGTAAAATTGGGCAATATTTTGATCCTGTCCTCGGACTTGATCAAATTGCGCGGACTTGAAATCTAGTCCAGTCCTCATAGTCCTATCATTTGAAATATTACATGAAACATTTATTGATATTTCTACACCAGTCCTATAATATAGATGAGACTGAGTAAATATAAATTATTTTCGTTCAAAGGTAGTATAATAGTCCCATTTCAATTTCTTGATTCTTGCATAATTTAATGTAATATGTTTTTAGATCTCAACTGAACGTAAATATATTACGAGGAGAAGATTTTCCTCTGATATCATCAAGTAATGTTTCTTTTACCTACGTCGTCGTGGAACTACAACCGTTCTCCCAGAAATATGAAGCTAAAGCACAAACACGCTACGCTCGGAACAGTATTTCTCCTGTGTTTAATGATACAATCCATTATCAGATTCCAGTCCAAGAATTACAAGGGCAAACTCTACTACTCTCTGTGTACGACATTAATCATCTTTCAGCTCATGATCTTATTGGAAGTGTAAAGATAAATGTCGACGGAAATTTCTTAGCAAGTGGAGCAGAAAGAATTTACAAGGAAAATCTGAAATTTGAAGACGATGTAAGTTATAAATTAAATTAAATCAGAGCCTGCCTCGCAGGTTAAATCATTCGTGCATTTTTACCTTTTGTTTTTTTACCATCCACCATTCCACCGTCAATTGTCGCTCGGTATTCCTATACGAGGATCTTTCATGACCGACGCTACATTTTCTTGATGTTCGTTCCATTGTTTTCACGTTTCTGCAGAGCTAACCGTTCCTCAGGGTCTGATTTGCCTTTCTCAATCAAATGGTTTCTCAAAAGTATTTGACACACTGAGTCACTGTGCAACTATTAAAAATTACCTGATTCTAGTTAGCTTAATATCTTTGTTATATATTAAGTGCATGTGATTCCTTATAAGATTTGCCCGTAAAATTGTCTGAAAAATAAACATCTTGTAGTTCAATCTCTTTGCTGAGGGAAATTATATTCCTCAGGATTCCACATTTTTGGTCAAACCATACCGTATTCTACTTCAAATTTATAAAATGTGCCTCTACAGTTTTCTCGTTTTTACGAAAACAAATTAAACTGTGGTATATATCATGTTTTCTTTTTAACTTCCAAGAATCCCAAATTAGTTGGCGAGATCCTTGTTGGATTACGTTGGAAGAAGGATAAAGAAACACTAGACGTTACGATTCAAGAAGCTTCAAGTCTGAGAATAATGGACCAAGATAGACATACATCAAGTGAGTCAAAATATATTATCAGCTCTGTATAAAATACACCATACACCGTAATTAAATTATAGGTATATTTACTTTTATTTGCACTGTGCAAATTATTAAGTTAGACATTTTACTTTAGTTGCCATTGTGCAAGCTCTTTCTTGCGCACTTACGTGAGTAAAATATTTTGCTATCCTATATGTACGAAGGCAGTGAGAAGAAAAATACATTCTAGCTCCAACCACATTAAGTCATAATGCCATATAATTAGCATAATTTTTAAGTTTTTAAAGTGAATTCCCAAAGGAATTTAATGTTCAATGAAATTATTACATGAGTAAGCTAAGATTATCTCCAACAACTCAATCGAACACTTGCTTTCTGCACGACTTTTCTTTAAATTCCTCCACATTCTGAGATTGCACCCTCGTGTACAGAAAGAACGATATTTCTAAATTTTCTAATCATTTTATATCATAAATAGGCTATCTGTATTGAATGAAAAGTGTTTAAATATGAAAAAGCAGTGTAGCTTCAGACACAGAGAGACATATACTGTCATATGTAATCGCTTAGAAAATATATAGAATACTGCATGGTTAAATTTGCTGACTTGAACTATGTTTAAATTTTGCAGGTCCTTACGTGAAAATCCAGGTGTTCATCAACTCTTTTCTTGTGCTAAAGAAACGAACCAAAGTAGAAAAAAAGACGCTCTCTCCCAAATTTAGAAAAACATTCAGTGTGCATGTTCCTGGGGACAGTTTAACTCGGAACACTCAGCTTGTTTTGACTGTAAAACATGTTGCCAAGTTCAGGAGGAAGCATGTCATTGGTCAGTTATATTTTGGGCTCGATGCAAAGGCGAGTACATCTGAACAGTGGGAAATTATAAGAAAGGGCAGCGAGTATGTTGAAATGTGGCATGAACTAGATGCACCACTTGATAATTCAACATGGCAGTCCAGATCCAAAGTGAATTATCTATTATTTGAAGACAACAATAGCGACGATAATCATAGTTTGGCAGAACTATCAGATCGTTCTGATACTCGCTCAGATTCTGCTTTGCTACGGTACAGTCGCTCATTTTAAATTTCAAAATTGATTGCATAATATATTATCATCTTCTATCTACAAGACACATTTTCTCCTAGCTACAAGGACGTGGGAACGGTTCTTACATCCATGCAATTGATCTGTGAGCTACTGACAAATCATGATAATTTGCCACAGAGGAGGAATGAGGGTCTTCCCGAGGGTCTCCATTATTATTCAATATATTTACTCTCAACGCGCTGTTCGATTAAAAACTGTTGAAATGTATTGGCAATTGCGATTTTTGCTATGAAGATCTCGTTTTCTCAAAGGTATGTTTTTGATAACTTTTTTGTTTAGCAATTTAATAAAAGAATTTTTTAATAATTTTGTTTATATATCGCATTTTACTTATGTTAAATTCCCTATTGTATTTATGCATGTTTTGGGTGTTGAAAAAGTGGCATTGAAATATTCAGGAGTAAATTGTACTTTTTTTACAAAGAAACTAAAATAAAATCACATCGGTGAATTCAGGAATGTTTACTCTTTATAATGATACTTTAAAACTGAATTTACTCCATAAAACCGAAGAGTTATCGCGGTTTGAGAAAATGAGATATTTTTGCTATTCGAATATAGCGATAACCGCGATAACTCTTTGGTTTTATGGAGTAAATTCATGTTTTAAAGTATCATTATAAAGAGTAAACATTCCTGAATTTACTGATGTGATTTTATTGTAGTTTCCTTGTAAAAAAGTACAATTTACTCCTGAATATTTCCATGCCACTTTTTCAACATCCAAAACATGAATACAATGGGAATTTAACATAAGTAAAATGCGATATATTATAAAATTCTTTTATTAAATTAAGAAACAAAAAAGTTATCAAAACATACCTTTGAGAATTTAGAAAACGAGATCTTTATAGCAAAAATCGCAGTACATTTCAACAGTTTTTAATCGATCAGCGCGTTGAGAATAAATATATTGAATACTAATGAGTCGCACTGAGGCGCGCGTTGCATTTCAAGAAGACCCTCATTCCTCCTCTGAGTTTGCGCAACCGAGTCCAATTGTTTTATCATTTACTTATTCATTTTCGAAATTTTGTGGCCGTCACGAAGTTCAACAAATCTGTACAATAACAATATCTGAAAATTTAATTGTAGATTATAATTTATATACACAATAAGTTGCTTTACAAAAATCTTAAATGCGCATGCGTAAATCGATATTTTGCAGTTGAGATTTGATTTCAAAAGTGCGCATGCTCGGACCATTATTTGCACCAGTTATTTGTAGGAAAATTAGCCAATCAACGTTGAGAAAATGAATAACTAAATGTAATTTAAAATATTTGCATAAAATATATACCATCAGACATGTTTTCGCTTCGCTACTCTGGTACTAAGAAGTAAAGGTTGAATGTTTAATGATGCGAAGGCTCGTCGAATTGCATCCACAACCCAGCGTTTCGACAGTTCGGTGTAATGTCTTCAACAAGGGTGATCTAAAGTCATATATTCGAGGGATGGCGTTAACGCGGGCAACGTTAAACAAGCTGGTGCGATCAGAAATTACGGCCACGATGTCGATGAGCTGATGATTCTACATTTTTGATTGATTGGTAGTTAAAGGATTAGTGTCACACCAGGAATTTGCGGGCTCAAACTCCTGGTGGCGGCTATTTTTCGGGACGAATAAGCTAGATGATCTGGAAAGTTTTTACAATCCGTCATATATTTACACCATCCTTTTATAATCCTTGCTCTTTTTGTCTGATTTTAATCTGAAATGTACCATGCAAACAAGGTAATTGTATCGCTATTTGTTGTATTTGAGTAAAATGTAAACAATAACAAAAGCCCGCAATGCATGACCCTGACACTAATCCTTTAAGAAAAGGTTGAAAGCGTACAAGAACAGCATTAGATGACTCAAGCATAATTAAGAACACTATAAACGTACAATTTGAGCCTTTTAGTTGTAACAAACAAATCTAACTAAAGCAAAATAAACTTGCTGATTGCTCTTGAGTCTTGACTGAGCCCAAGATGCCAGGACGTCGCAGGGGTAACACCTCCCCTGAAAAAATCATTTCGGCAAAATGACGGATTTGTCGGCAAATTGTTTTCGTAGTTGACAAAACATGAATTGGATAGGAAGGAAGATAACTAAAATATTTTAATGACACTGATTTAATTAAAAGTAATAGTTAGCAAAAATTTGGAAAATTTTGGACTACAGCCCCCCCCCCCCCTAATTAGCCTCTGCGAAGGCCCTGCAAGATGCCCTGGAATTAGTCTTAGCGACACAATGTCATTTTCTGCACAATCTCCGCTCGTGAGATACTGAACTTTTGTGGCAGATGGCTACTATATCTCTATTCAAAGAATGCGAGTATAGCGAGCAAGGAGATATAAACTGTGATGTTGCTAAATCCCCACCAGAAGCACATACAATTAGATTTCAATCTATAAATTCATTATATAACATGGCTCAGTTAATAGAAGAACCAACCAGGGTTGCGAGAACATCTGCTACTATAATTGACCTTATTCTGACAAATGTTCCTGAAAAAATTTCTCATGCTGGCGTCTTTCACGTTGGTATATCAGATCATAGCCTAATATATGCAGTTCGCAAATTCAAACCGCTTAAACGAAGGCCGACTATTAAAAAAGTTCGTAATTTTAAACACTTTTCTGAAACAGAATTTATATCCGACCTAACCAATATTCCTTGGCAAACTGTTTTCACAACAAGTGATCCAAACTTGAGTTGGAATAAGTGGAAGGAACTTTTTATCGGAACACTAGATAAACATGTTCCTGTTAGACATATAAGATCAGGGAAACACACCACTCCGTGGATGACAGCGGAAATAAGGTCAGCTATGAGAAGAAGAGACTACCATAAGAAAAAGGCCATAAAATTGAAATCTGATTCACATTGGCATAATTATAAGAGTCTGCGTAATAAAGTTAATAAACTAATACATGTGACAAAATCTACTTTCTATATCAACAAAATATCTGAATGTGCAGAAACTAAGGATTTAAAAAAATGCTGGTCTACAATAAATTCCCTGCTAGGGAAACAAAATAAATCCAATTATATTAGTGAGCTCAAAGTTGGTGAAAATGTCATCACAGCTGACCCTAATCTCATTGCGGAGCATTTTAATACACACTTCATCAACATTGGAGTGTACCCTGATAAAAATGATACGCCAAACGAATGTGGAGAAAATCTTTATTTCTCTGACACAAACATCCATTCCCAAACTAATAATAAATTTAATTTTTCTCTCATTAAGGTTGATAGTGTCCTCTGTAATTTGAAACACCTTAAAGCAAATAAATCCACTGGCCTAGATGCCATCCCAGCGAAAATACTCAAACTAGCTGCCCATATTATTGCCCCTTCCTTAACGTATATTTTTAATTTATCTCTTCAAAGCGGTATTTATGTTAACGATTGGAAACGAGCTCGAGTAATTCCTATCTTCAAATCTGAAGATAAAAGTAAATGTGAAAATTATAGACCCATTTCTATTTTGTCAATTGTAAGTAAAGTCTTTGAAAAAGAAGTGTTTAGGCAAGTGTATACGTACGTGAATGAAAGTAATCTTCTCTCAAAGTATCAATCTGGCTTTCGGCCACAACACTCAACCTTATCAGCCCTCATTAAAATATGTGACGAAATCTTAAATAACATGGACGAGGGAAAAATAAACTGTATAGTATTTTTAGACATACGGAAAGCTTTTGATTCAATAAATCACAATATTTTATTAAGTAAAATAAGATCCAACTTTGGCATTAGCGGTAATGAATTACTCTGGTTTGAATCATACCTAACGAATAGGGAACAACAATGCGTAGCTAATGGGATACTATCCTCCGTTGGAAAATTAAAATGTGGGGTCCCCCAGGGGTCGATCCTGGGGCCGTTGTTATTTTTGCACTACATCAATGACCTACCATAATGTCTCCAAAAAAACACGCCGGGTCTTTATGCTGATGACACGGAAATTTACGCGTCATCACACAATGTAAATGATCTTATTGATAACATAAATTATGACCTAAATATTGTTACGCAATGGATGGAGAATAATAAGCTACAAATTCATCCTAAGAAATCTAAATGTATGTTTATTGCATCCCCTTATAAAATTAAGAATATACCCCAAGGAATACCAATATTAATTAATAATGTTCCTGTCCCAAGATTAAATTGCTACAAATGCCTCGGTGTCACTTTAGACGAAAAATTGAACTGGGAACATCATATTGATATGATTATTAAGAAAGTCAATGCAGGCATTGCAGTAATTAAACGTATGAAAACCTGTGTTCCTCAGGAATTCCTACAAACAGTTTACAACGCCTTAATACAACCCTATTTTGACTACTGCTGTCAATTGTGGGATACCTGTGGAATCGTCCTAAAGGAAAAACTACAAAAATGTCAATCCCGAGCTGCTAGAGTAATAACAGGAGCATCTTATGATATTAGGTCGGCCGATGTTCTTGCAACTTTGGGGTGGCAAACTCTCGACAATAGGCGAAAATACTTGAAATCCATTTTTATTTACAAAATCTTAAATAATGAAACTGCTCCAAACCTGAAAGAAAATTTTTTGAAAATAAGTGATTGTCCAATTACATACCAATTAAGAAATTCTCAAACAGATCTGGTACTTCCATTCCCAAAATCACAATTTAAGAAAAAGACCTTCAGTTATAGTGGAGCAACTCTTTGGAATAACTTATCAATTACTGCTAAACAATCCAATTCTTTGAGTTGTTTCAAAAGATTAATGAAACTACATTTTCGAAAACCATAAGTATGTAAATAGTTTTGTATGTTTGTTATTTATTTATGTTTGTTATTTTGTCAAAATAATCATGTAAATAGTTTGTATTATGTATATGTATTAGTCTTATTCTTACACGTCCCCTATGGAAACCATCAAAAGATGTTAGGGCTAACGTGTTTAAATAAATTTTTATGTATGTATGTATGTGTATTCACTTTTCCAAATAGTCATATTCTTTCCAAAAACATTCATATTGTCTGTAGTTTAAAAAAACCCAATATTCCACTTCCACCCCCCCAAAATTATACTCTTTTCTGAATCAATGTTTTGCAAGGAAACAACCGATTGAAAACATTAATAAATAATAAACATTTTTTTACGTTGGAGGCTGTATATAGTCTTTTAGATGACTATTCAATGAAGATAACGAGATTCCCTGGTCAACAACTAGTTAGTCATGAGTTAACGCGCAAGCGTTCATACAATATAAATTAGATAAATTAGTGTATTCAAATAGCTTGGCCTTTCTCCATTGACACAAAAAGAAGTAACAGCTATATTAGGTCTTTAGAACTAATCTATTCTACTTCTTTGTTGCGACTGATACAGCAAAGAAGTTGTTCACATTTTACTTTGCCTTTATTATTTAATACGGTTGACGAAACTACACTACTGCGACTAATACAACTATACTTAACATAAAATATTTAAAATTCATCCTCTACTAGATCTCTCAGATTTTATTTCTTTAATTCAAGAGTTTGTTAGTTTACTGTTTGAACAGTTTTTGATGTTTTTAATTTGCTCCATACATACTCATATTTTAAGCAAAGCAAACTGCACCAAATTCCACTCCAAATTGTTGTCCCTTTCTACCAACATCGTATACAGCAACGTCTCGGATTGGCAATCGTGCGGTGTTTTGGGTGAATACATGAACTGTCGTCTCGTGCCATTTACCATCTTTTTTCTAAACAAAATACAAACATAAGATATGCTTCACATGACCTTCACTTCTACGAAAAATTAACCATGGTAGCTGTAGATAACTGCAAGAGCAAAATTGAAACTTAGAAGCCACATGTCGAATCATGTGAATGGTTTTAAATTGGAAGTGGTTATTTAATTAATGGAATAATGCGCCAACGCTATTTGTCTGGCACAACTATTTTCTTCCTTCTGTCAGCATGCTAAAATGACATCAAGTACAATTCATTAGTTTTAAAGCGTGTCTTCGGCAGCCGAATGGTTGAGGGCCGAAGATCGAATCCCTGAAGAAATTCCGCGACCTGCGAACAGCCGAATGGGTGGTTAGGGCTGGGGTTAGGGAAAAGGTTGAGTTCGGCTATTAAGTTCCGGTTTTTATTGCATGAAACGACTCCAGTTTTGAAAAGAAAAAAGTTTAGATTAGTGTCAGATTAAGATTAGAATCGGGATTAGATTACGGTTAGGTTTAGATGGTTATTATCTATTTGCGCACTTTTGTCAAATGACCACTGTTCATCTATTTATCCCTGAGACTGTGCTGATATTTTACATAAAGTAATTCCAGATAAACGACCGCTGACGAGCATATTGAACATGATTGTGGAGTGTGGGCCCATATTTACCAAAATGGCGAGAAATTCAACGGACAAGTCATAAAGTTATTAATGACGAACAAGATGTTTCTTTCCTGTGTCTGTGATAAGTATATTAAAGATCACTATCAGAGAAACCTGCATGCTTAGTGAAGTTGATGAAAACCCCCGAATATAAACCAGTACGCAGTAGTTTCGGTTGTGGACCACGTGCATGGTCTGCATGGATATAGATTCATTTCTCGCTGTTCATGATTTAAGGTCAGTGACAGTGGTTAGCCACAAGGTAAGGATTCAGCAGTTCCTTGCGTTATCAACAATATAGTATTGTAATTATCAACCGTTATCAGCAATATAAAGTTATTGGGTTGTATTAACCCTAACCTCGGCTCTAACCCCCACACCCGAACCTCTAACGCCCACCCCCTAACCCTGGCGACCATTTTCTCTTTTTCCAAAGTTTTACCCATCCACCACCTCATAATGAGACAGTTACATTTATAACTAAAACTTTTGTCCAATGCTTGTGGTTTTCTCTTCAGTGATAACCCAATAACTTATTGCTGATAACGGCCCGGTTGATAATTACAATACTATATTGTTGATAATGTGCGGAACGGGTGTTGTGCAAGAGCGGTGCTAAAGGGGGGTGGAACACCTCCAGTCACCTACCCTGAGAGCAGAGCCTGATTTCCGCTTGCATAGAAAATAAGGCTCTGCTGTTTTTGTGTTTTTGTTCGTCCAAAATCCTGGACGAAGTAAACCGGTAATAAACCAGTTCTAACCGGTTTTAAATGTGCGCACCTTCGTTTTGCATGTAAACCGATGACTACAATTTGAGCTCGCTATATATTTACAAAATTTTAAACTTTATACTCTAACCGAAATTTGGCTGACAATAACTTAAGTAACTTAAGATAAAATAAACTAACAAGTTAGCAATTGTAAATTAAAATATAGTAATAGTTTGATTCCACAAGTGACAAAACTATCAATCTGAAAATGTTTTTGTATAATTGTCGTAATTGTACGGCAAGTGCAGTTGCACACGCCCAGCACAGCCTCATACCCAGGCTCTTTAGTAATTAATAGCGTTCAGAGCTCTGGGTGAGCTAGGCGTGCAGGGATTCTTGGGCCCAGAGCTCTGAACGCTATTAATTACTAAAGAGCCTGGGTACAAGGCTACGCCCAGCATGTAGCGATAACTGCAATATATTGATTGTCAGTCACTTGAAATTGTTTGAGTAGTGGGCAAAATATGAATATGAATTGGATAGAAAGAAAAAAATAAATTTGAGTGACACCGATTGAAAATCAATAATGATAGCTAAAATATGGAGATTTAAGATTAGGGAAAAATAACATGAAAAATGGTAGTCATGAACAATGGTAGTCTAACCCAAAATAAGATGAAAAATATTGTGTCTGGAAAAACTTTTACATGTTGAGTAACCAACCACTCGCTAACAATTTTGGGAAAATGGATATTAATTAGTGGTTGAAATCATAGAGATTATAAATAACGCTAGAGGAGGCACTAAGGGGGGCAAATTTAGGTCCCGGATATAAAATCATGCTCTCATTGGCTAAATTGAAACTCCTCACCAATGGGAATACGAGTACACATCTGGGACTTCAATTTGCCCCCCCCCCCCCAATAGCCGCATTCCTTTTTTTGCCTGATGTCAAGATTGCGATGCCTCCTCTAGTGTTATTTATAATCTCTATGGTTGAAATGACAAGGCAAAATTTCCCTTAATAACTTGGCAAATTCACTTACACCCCCCCCCCCA